GCACACTTGGTTGAGGGGCTATGCTACAAGCCGGAAGTTCGCGGGATCGATTCCCGGTGACGCCACTGGATTTTTCAGTTGCCCCAATTCTTCCAGCCGCACTATGACCCTAGGGTCGACTCAGCCTCTAACAGAAATGAGTACCAGGAATCTTCCTGGGGTGTAAAGGGCGGCCGACGCGTTATGCTGACAGCCTTACCGCCATCTGTGAGCCGATTGTCTAGAAAATGTGAGAGCCTCGACGTCTCAGAACCCTATGGGCCCCCCAAGGTCCGTTACAGGGAATAGCTGTACCATTTTTTAGTACTTCACCGTAGCATATATCTGTTGTTATAAGAATTCATCATGGCGGATCTGACGTAAACACTGCGAGTGATTATTCCACTCAGCACACAAATATATAGTACTAAACTAGGCTTAGAGCATCTTGTTTGTAATTGCATGTCCCTGTTTGGTTTCGCGATGCCGGAAATCTGTGACTTAGAGCGTTCTTCAGCCAGGCCTGTCTTTGTTCTGTTCGTTGTGAGCCTATGTAGCTCAGTCAATGAAGGAATGCACGAACCGAATTGAAGTCCTGGTGGAGGATATTCGGTTTTCGGTATTTTTTTCCAACGGTTTAGCTATTTTTTTGTTCATGTATTAGTGTCTGTTGGAGTTGGTATAGTGACGGGCTACGGGCTCGATGGCCGGGATTCGATCCCCGGAACAGCAAGAGATTCTTCTCTGCTCCACAATGTCCAGACCGGCTCTGGGCCCTACCGAGCCTCGTATCCATTGGGTACCGTGGGCTTTTTCCCCGGGGGTAAAGCAGCCGGCGCGTTAAATTCACCACTCACCTCCATCCACTGCCTAGGTCGAGAATGGTGGAGCTATAACTCCATTCCCCCATACGTTTTCATGTCATAGTGCTTAATTAATCACGCACAGGGACGGCTTATCGTTATTAATGCTTATTATTCCCAGGTGAACTGGAAAGGATTTGGAAGGAAACGGTCTTGGCCTGTTAGAATTAATGTCTTTGTATTTGTCTCTAGGTCCTGAGGAAAACCATAAGAAGCTCAGTGATTATTGTCGCTGTTCCGGCCGAGATTCTCACCGAGAACCTCCAAAATGTATGTCAGAAAGGTTACCGCTACGCCAACCTGCCCAGAGTCACCGCCTGGAGTATCTCAGGTCTGCTGCCCTCAACATACGTGTATGTTCGGTATTTCAGATCTCACGATTTTGTGCTTTTTTGTACGTGAGGCTATTTCTAAGAGTAGATTGAACTCGGGTAATGCTTGATACCATTCAGTCCAGAACCTTTTGTCTTCTCGTCTGCTGTCCAAAAGCATAAAAATTAGAATATAAAATACAGAACTATAATTTTGCCCGTGATTCTCTATTGGTGTGAAACTTGGTCTCTGACATTAAGGGAGGAACATAGACTGAGGGTGTTTGAGAACATGGTGTTGAGGAGACTATTTAGACCGAAGAGAGATGAAGTGACAGGAGGTTGGAGAAAACTACATAATGAGGAGCTTCATAACTTATACTCTTCTCCAAGTATAATTAGAATGATCAAGTCAAGGAGCATGAGGTGTGCAGGGCATGTAGCACGAATGGGGGAGACGAGGAATGCGTATAGGATATTGGTGGGAAATCCAGAAGGAAAGAAACCACAGGGAAGAGCAAGGCGTAGGTGGGTGGACAATATTAGAATGGATCTTAGAGATAGGATGGGATGGTATGGATTGGATTGATCTGGCTAAGGATAGGGACCAGTGGAGGGCTCTTGTGAACACGGTGATGAACCTTCGGGTTCCATAAAATGCTGGGAAATTCTTGAGTAGCTGCAGAATTGGCGGCTCCTCAAGAAGGGCTCAGCTCCATGAAGATCAAAGTGAGAGGCTATTTTGTGGGAATTGATTCAAATAGGAAGTTGTTTTCGAGTTGTTTCTTGTTTCAAGGTCCAAAGTGAGGTCACTGTCGGACAACTTACTACTGACCTTGCGGATAGTGCCATAACGTAATAATGACCTTACAAGTTTACCTTTCCTTGCTGTTATTTTCCACGAAATATAACGACGAAACCTATTACGATAGCCTGGCCTGTCTGTAGCTTATATCTCTGCCTCTCCTAACATGCTTCTTTACAACGAAACATTGTTCCACTTGAGAGAACAGGGATTTCACAGAACATTAATTTCACATAATTTTCTCATTAAAACCGTATCAAGACGTACAGAAGTGCACCTGTCCTTGTTACGTGTCGTCTTGAAGGCCACAGATGGTGCGGGTTTCTCACGAGGAGTCGTGCATGCCAAGTAAATGGAGCTGGGGTGAACTACAGAGTTTTTCAAGCGAAGAAATAACAGTTTGCACTTCTACGGGAAGAAAGCTTTCATGTGAGTTACAAAATAGAAAGAGGATAGCAATATTTTTGTGCTTACGACTACATAAACTCGTTTCTCTTCTCTGGCGTTTCCTTGTGGTTTAGTTTGTGGCTTGTTTAACTCTGCATTCCGTAGCTCATGCAATACGGCGTCGAATCATGGAATAAATGGTGAATAGGAGAGGATGTGGAAGGAAGTTGCCGTGGTCTATTTGAAAGTATTACCCAGGAATTCGCATGGGGGGCACACGAGAGCCATGAAAATGTTCACTCATGATAGCCTGTGTCTGAGATTCGAACTGAACACCTCCTAAATACATGTCTAGAGCGTTACTTCTACACCAGCCTCGGTTTGTCGTGTTTAGAACCTGGCAGTAACGATAAGTATGGGCCGTGCTATAACTCAGGCTTTTAGTCGTCGGGTTCCCACCTCGGCGGCCCGGGTTCGATCCCGGGTCTGGTCAAGTTGGATTTGTGGTGGACGCATGGCACTGGGGCAGGTTTCCTCCTTAAACGTCTTACTGGATTTTTCGGCCCTCGCTGTGGTGATTATGAATTGTACTATCTTCCGGGATGTGACGCCGTGTAGTCCTGTTTCGGAAGAAGCTATTGCCTCTGTCTTCGTGGTCGAAGGCTAAGCTAAACGATCAACCAACAAGATATATGGCACATCTTATTACAGTCAGGAATAAAGGACAACTATCGCTTGATGACCATGTTAGCAACAAAATAATTTGTCGTTCTTGTACTGTGTCATGCGTCTTGTGACCTTCGCGTTGCATAGTCTGCACCTCGACTTCTTTGTCTTTCGTCTTTAGTCAAGGTTACCTCGAAATTAAGCTGTTTGTGGTCCAGTCGACCCCAGCACAGCGTGACTCGAGTTACATCTCATCTGAGGCGAACAAGAAGCTTTGAGCAAGGCTTCTTTCCGCGAGTGTTTGTGGCGCCTTTTAGCGAAATATTTGTTTAAATAGAGCTCTTTGCAACACAGGAACATGTATGATCAGTGGATCACCAGGAAGCGTCATAAACGCTGTTCTTAAAGGATGTAATTTATGTAATGAAAGTTGACTTCGGTAACCATTTCATTGAATCAACATTTTCTCAGAAAAAAAAAACTATTTTGAAAGAGCAGTCAACTTTATTTTTGACGCTCAGGCGGTAAGTCGCTGGCTTCCCACCATGTCGACCCGGGTTCAAAGTCACGTCATGTGGGATTTGTGGTGGACAAAGTGGAACTGAGGCAGGTTTCCTCTGAGTACTTCCGTCTCCCCTGAAAATTCTCATTCCAGGGAATGCTCCACACTCATCATCTATCATCTGGGGCTGGTACAGTAGGCCAGATAGTGGCCGACGGACAAAGTGGACTTAGGTCTTACCTCACCCGAATAAATAAATAAAAATAATAATATTCATGACGTTTCATCAATGCAGCCCCTCTCCACACACGAAAATGTGTGCGGCTAAGTGCTTTTCAGTTTCGCTGAGGTTTCTGACGTTATTGTATACACTGAAGTGGTCGTGGCATATTACGCAATCGGTAGACGGCGCTGTCTTTATATTCGCCTTGACAAAGTTAAAAAGAAGAAAGACCGGTATCCAAGGAACTGACTGCATTAAGCCGTATCCTTCTTGAGAAGTCACTAATCGCTCAACTGCACAAGAATTTCACAACATTTGATGGAACCCGAAGGTTCATTACCGTGTTCACAAGAGCCTGCCACTTGTCTTTATCCTAAACCAAATAAATATAATCCAAACCATCCCATCCTATCTCTCTAAAAACCATTTTGATATTGTCACGTAGTATATGTGACTATAAATCACCACAGCACCCGCTAAGCCCTTTTCCAGCTTGCTGTGTCTTCATCACGCGTTTCCTGACAACGGTTTCTAACAGTGGAGATTCTTCAGCCTCACGCCCACAGCCTCCCGTTCAGAACTCTACTGAAAACTAACTTTGTCCCTTTCTTATAACATCTTGGCACGGACCACATAGAAAACAGTTCTTCTATTCTTGCGTCTAACTGTTGCATTATTAAGAATCTGCTGCCTAGCAACGGGAACATGTTTACCGAGTTGTTGCCCAGAAGCGGTTGCTGTTTTTAGTCACCTTTTAGCAACGGGTCTATGCGCTATATATAGGGCCGCGCCGTAGCTCAAGCGGTTAGTCGCTGGCTTCCCACCGCGGCGGCCCGGGTTCGATCCCGGGTCTGGTCAAGTGGGATTTGTGGTGGACAAAGTGGCGCTGGGGAAGGTTTTCTCCGAGTACTTCGGTTTCCCCCTGCCGATCTTCATTCCACTAATTGCTCCACGATCACCCTCACCTATCATCTGGGGCTGGTACAATAGGCCAGAAGTGGCCGCAGTACAAGGGACTTATTCCCACCCCACTAGCAATAAAAAAAAATACGCTATATATAGGCTATATACATTCGCACCTACATCTCTGTCTTCCTAGTGGTCTCTTTCCTCCTGGCTTTCTCACCAAAACCCTCTAACCCAAAGATGGAAAATTGTCGCCGATATTAAAATGGTCATTAAAGAAGTTACGGCGTTCGCAATATGACCCGTTTTTTCATTGTATACAATGACAGGTCCCCAAGAAAGATTTTGTTGTATTGAATCATGTTTATATATTTAAAACATTACATACCAAAGTAACATTGTCACTTCAGTATTGGAGTATAGTGTGGCCAACAACACAAATATCCGGGGAATGTGTGTTCGAGGTTAGGAAATCAGCCGCTGTTTAAGTGTGAGACTTAGATCAAAAGACATTCTGAAATCTCACACGTAAAGTAAGAGGGGCCATATGGAAGTGCAGCGCAGTATGGAGAATCAGAGAAAAGAATTATCTCATTTTCACCCCGAAGTGGAGACGAACAGTAGGATACTCAGATGACGAACTCTTGACGCCGGTACTGGATATTAATTCCGTCTCGGAGATGGTGAGGCGCAGCTTTGGTATGGTCGACATCCCTTGCGCGTGCAGAGAGCCTGGTCTGGCCACCTCCGGCAAGACTTACCCCTTCCTGTTCTTGTGTCTTGAGGGCGAGAGGCGTGTATCGGAACGCGCCGGGCTGAAATCCGGCCGTGTTGTAATGTGGTCCATGGTACTCAGCGAGGTCATGCAGTGCTCTGGTGGGGGTTATGTGGTGAAAGGGAAGGAAGACGTTCCGCGCATGCGTTGCGAAATGTTCACACTCCGAGGAGCAGGGACCAAGATAAAGGAACGGAGATGGAAAATATGGGAAGCTGGCGGAAGGCATGAGGTAAAAATGGCTTTCCGGTGTTAGGAAACCTGAAGCAAAGACAGACATGTCAGTTACACCCAGCGTTACCGTGTAGTTTATATGTGCGTGAAACGTAATCCCTTAAGGGAAAACCCCATAAACGTAGGCTGGAGACTATTATCTTCTGGGATGTGATGCTGTGAAGTCTCGTAGAAATTTGCCGACGTTTCGGAGGAACATACGGTCTCCATATTCAAGTTAGAATTGAAGTAGGCTAAAGAAACAAGCAGCAAACGGACTTATCGCTCCCAGAAAATATTAGTCTTCATAGTCACCCCGTGTTAAGTTCAAATCTTAGATAATCACTGTGAATGTTATAAGTAACTTAATTTAGCTTAGCCCCTTTGAGAGGCCGCAAGTTCTTAAGCTGCTTAAGACCTTCCCAGCATTTTACGGAACCCGATGATTCATTGCCGTATTCACAAGATCCCTCCACTGGTCCCTATCCTGACGTTCTTGTCCGAGGCCTTTTGTGACACTTCGTAACAAGCTTATTTTTACGGCGAGGAGTTATTTGCCCCACGCTCAAGCCCCCAAACTGGAACACCACCCCTTTACGGCTGTCCGAGACTGCTTTGTTCAATGTATTCGCAGCTACCCTTCATATCTGGAGACCGTCTTCTCCATCCGAAACCTGAGGGCGCTCCATGCCATTGTGAGAACTGTTGATATTATGGCGTTGTTAAATAGACAAGGAATCAACAAGTATGTGCTTGTATTTGTTCCAGCAGAGGAGTGTTCTACAGAGCTTGCTTTGTAACTGTGTTCTTATATTACTCTGTTCTGTTCGTCGACAGGTCTTCGGTGTGTCTTTGTTGTTCTGTGGGCTGTAAAATGCAGTCTGCTGTGGTCTGGTGGTCAGAGTTCCTGGTTCGATTCCCGGCGTTACCAGATTTTTTTTTTTTTTGAGAAGTAATGGGTCTGGAACGGGGTCCACTCAGCCTCGTGAGGATAGTTGAGGAGCTACTTGAATGGAAAAGTAGCTACTCCAGTCTAGAAATTAACGGCCGTGGGGATTCGTTGCGCTGACCACGCGACCCCCTCTACCCGCTAAAGTAGGCACTAACTTCGCCGAGAAGGGTCGGTTGCTCGGTCGGTATAGTTCGCTCGCGGACTGAAGCCACGAAGTTATTTTTACTGTTTCAAGTTAGCGCTACAGGGTGTTAGAATTACAGAGAATTTTCTATAAATTCATATTGCTGTGAAATCAGTATTATATCACGAATCCGGCAAGGGGGCAAGCCAGGCAACTGATCTCGTTCGGCTTTTTTTAATTCGAATTTGAAAAAATAAAAATGAAAATAAACCGAATGTTAATAGCAAAAGTTGGAAGATTTTTGACGAAGTTTGTAGCGCCATCTGTGTTTCGGGGTAGAGACCCGCAACTGCAATGCGATCCGTAAGAATATTCTTAGCCACCTTAAATGTAAGTTTGTAAGCAAATTGTGAGGCTCCCCGCTCACTCACATGGCATCTCTCCTGTCACTCACCGCGACGGCTGAAGATGATGGGCCGATAGCCATACTGCATGGAAACAGGAGCATGTACACGCCCGAAACCTTGTAGTTGCGCACCTGTATTGTAGGTGGCTGCACTGTCCAATCGATCTCTCGCATTGTAGTCGAGTGCGGTTTCTTCGGGACCCTCATCTGCTCTCTGAAACATCAGCTGAACTCAGCCCTTCCATGCTTATTCTTTTTTACAGGCTTATGTTAAGGCAACTGGCAGATCTACAAGGGATCTCGAACAAAATCTAATAATCGTAGACCTTCATAAATTTATAATATTCAAATCTGTGCAGCTAATAACCACTATCATGTCTCTGAAATAGCGTAATCAGTTTTAAACAGATTTTAATAAGCATCACAGAAGAGCTGGGATAGCTCAGCCTGTGTGTTTACCTACTAGGAGTTGGACAGCCGGGGTTCGATTTCTGGGCTCTTTCCTCGGTGGTAAGGCGGCTGGGGCGTGAAGATCACCATTCACCTCCACCTAGTACCGAGGTAAAGAATGGTGGAGCAATACCTCCAGTCCCCCATACGTCCCCATGGCGTGTTGCTCAGTCAATTAAGCATAAGGGCAGTTTTAACTGTATAGGTTGGGGGGGGGCGATTCAAACGTTTTTATTTACATCATGGGAGCTAATGAGCAAGATTACCGCCTTTAGGATACAGAATTTAAACAGCATTTGTTTTCTATGCCGAACCTGAAAGCTGAAAGAAACGAAGGCCTCCTAAAGAGAATAATTAGCGTGTGTTGCGGATACCTTCCGTGGTTGTTGTTCCCTTGCAGAATTGCCGTGACTCGAGTGTTTATTAGGCAGCGCGCTTGGTTTCACAGTTGTAATTTTGGCCGGTAACTCTATACTGCCCTTGGGTGGATCTCTCACAGCGCCCAAGCTTTTAGTGGTCAGGATCGCAACCACAACGAAAACCACAAGCTATCGAGAACATAACAAGATAAATTGCAATTCAGCATACAAAGATATACAAAAGTCAGGGTCAATTTATTCCATTGTTTATAATTTAAAATGAGGAAAGACTTTGTTACCAGATATACTTGGACGGAAGGCGGCCATGTGTTAACTTTTTTGTGACTGATTGTTCCCGCCGTCTGCAAAGGCTTTACATATCAGATCTATATGATGTTAAGTAGTTTCTGGCTGTAAGATTGGTTCCTTCTTTAGTCTTGTAGAATGAATGCGTGATATTCATAGATTAATGAGTATTGTTTGGTTTATGGTCATTAAAGTTCTTTTCTGGTTGGCTTTGGTTGCTATAAGTTTTACCAAATATCTGAGACATTATGAAATGAAAAGAGAATAAGGGTTGCCTACTTCCAAATTATGATCATTATTTTATATACATACGTGATTTTAATTCAATAAACATACTGTGGCATGTAGACCCGTTGGTAAGCAACCACCTCTAAACAAGCGACCATACAACAGTCGTTGCTAAGTAACGGCTATGCAAACGAGCATATTTCCACGGCAACAATCGCAGAGCAAGAGGTATGACGTTTTCTGCGCGGTCTATGACGAGATGTTATAAGCAAGATAAGTTAGAAGCTGGAGAGAGTTGGTTGGTTGGTGAGTGAGTTAGAAGACAGCTGCGTTAGAGTCGTGAGCTGTTGCTGTTACAAGCTGGTAGCTGAGGCCGGGGACAGTTCAGGAACCCAGAGGAAGGGGAACGTCCTCCCTTGGAAGCCGTTACCAGAAAACTGGTGAAGATAGAGCAGGCTGAAAAGACTTAAGTGCTTGCTCTGGTGAACTGTAAAGTGTGTGAATTACTGAAGCCCTTATAATTACATATAGTCACGTGTTTGTAAGAGTTAGACAAATACAATAACCAATTCAGATCCCGTCTATAATTTTTAAAAACCTGAAAATTCCTTTTTAATGCGTTGTTTGTTTCACGACTCTGTCAGTATCACGTATTGCATATCGTCGATTAATGGAATGTTTGATGCATAATGAAGAACGGTGCTGACGAGGGCCAGCAACAATTTACTGTTATGCTATTCTTATTAATAGCGAACATAAATATCATTATGAGTCCCAAGGGGACCCGAAACAGCGCTGGCCAGAGCTGGCAGCACATTACTGCCCTCTTATCAGAAGGACCAGCAGGCGAAACCCGGGAACCTTCTAACGAAACGAAACCCCTTCTCCCGCTCCACTCCCAACGGGGCAACGTCTCAGTTCTCACATGACTTTAAACTTGTACTTATGCTTCTGCTATCACAAAGAACCAACCAAAATGAGAGAATTTTGAGAGGAAAGTTAAAATATTTATATCCGCATTGGATACAGTCAATCGTGTGTTCTCTCCACACGTGTAAATTAACTGAGTGAGAGTTAATAGGGTATTTTAAAGGCGAAAACGACTCCTGAACACACGTATTATCAGTAAATAGTTGTATCTTACACATGCACATGAGATATGTTAGAGATGTATATTATTTAGTTGTGGGGGTACGCGGTAGCGTAGTTGGTTGAGGGACTATGATACAAGCCAGAAGGTCTCGGTTTCGAGCCACAATGAGTTGGATTTTTTCAGTTTACTTAATCCTTCGAGCCACACTATGGCCCTGGGGTCGACTCAGACTCTAAGAAGAATGAGTACCAGGAATCTTCCTTGGGGGGGAGGTGGTAAAGGGCGGTCGGCACGTAAGGCTGACAACTTTACCGCCAACTGTGAGCCGATTGTTTAGAAGATGTGGGAGCCTCGACGTCTCACCAACCTACGGGCCTCCACGGCCTGTTACAGGATAACATTACCTTTTTTTTACTGTTAATTATCCTGGTATCAGGTAACTACGGACAGAATTATTATTATTATCATAAAAGACTAAGATTATTTTTGTGTTCCTAAGTAACATACACTCTATCTGAAATATCTTCGAGGTCACGTCATAATTTCGAGTAGGAAACTTTACCCTTTAAACGCCGGACTTTTGAAATGGTAGTAAGCTTCAGCTGACCGGAGTATATTTAAATGCCCGCTGCTGGTGCGCGTTTAAATGCCCGTGGTTACTCTGCTTTCATAGTGACATTGAATTCTGTAGTTTCATTTCAGCGTATATATACATGAAGCAGATAACAACAAAAAAGGTATGTACATCGAATTTTACTATATATTTTTAACACATTAATCTGCACAATCTGCAATAAAAGTACTGTCTCGTGGATGAGTTTGGGCATAACTCATACGTATACACTTTTTGTTGTTGTTCACTTAGGTATCATTTTAATTCCTCTATTAGGGTTTTACTCAAGTCGGTCTGGTAATTACTACATTTAAAAATAAATATTTAGGACTGCGCATGCGCTTCTACTAGTGGCGTATATGCGCGCTTCCACTAGCGGAGTTTAAATGCCCAACTGGCCAAAGCGAGGTACTTTGGCCACGACGACTATATTCATCACTGGCACAAACGGGGCACTTCGGACGTTAAAGGTTACGGGGGGGGGGAGCCCTGTATGTTGAGTGAGATCTCAGGTATGGTGAGCTTGTTTCCCGTCGTATGGTGGAAACAATATCAAGTAACTTTCTAATGATGACGTAATGATTATGTCACTATTTGATGATCACGCGCACTCAAAGATGTTTGGGACAGAATATAAGCTTAGCTCTTTCGTGGTTTTCTTCGAGTATCCAGTATCGTTTCATCCCAGCTGTTTGTACTTTGTATTTTACTTGCAGTTCGAATAGTCTTAAAGTCATTCACTTTGAATACTGGAGTTGAGACGAGAAGGTGCCTTTAAGACGGGCCCAAGGGACGATGGATGCTAGGAAGGGATATGGATCGAATTTTCCCAGGATCGTTCCTAAGTGACCGCCCTCTGGTATTAGAGCGTTGTTGTTACTCCAGAGTTGTCTAACCAACAGTAAGCGGATTAGTAATTATTAATCCTGGACGATATATCTCTTGGAGATCCACCGCTCACTCTCTTTGTGTTATATTTATCATGTAACAGTGAGGTTTCTTGTTTCTTTCACGGCTGGGTGTGGGAAATGGTTCATTATTTCAGGATTGATATTTTCGTTGGATTTTTCAATTGATCTAACCCTTCCGGCCGCACTATGGCCTTGGGGTCGACTCAGCCTCTAGTAGAAATGAGTACCAGGAATCTTCCTAGGGGGTAAAGGGCGGCCGGTCCGTAAGGCTGACAGCCTCACCGCCATCTGTGAGTCGATTGTGTAGAAAATATGGGAGCCTCGACGTCTCACAAACCTATGGGCCTCCACAGCCTCTCACAGGGATAGCTTTACCTTTACCAAGGATAACTTTGCTCTTTATGATTTTCAGAATAAACAGCGGTTATTTCCGTAAAGAGCGTTAATCGGTTGCCTCTTCTAGGCAGGAACCGAACTTTGAAATACGCATTTAGCCTAACTTCAGGCTCCAGAATTCCACGTTGCAGAACATGCCTCATATACAGTCATCCATATAACCCCTACATCATTAGAATTAAAGATCTCACAGAACTCCATAAAGACTTTGCTTCTTTCCTCTGTTTAAAAAATTGTTCATTTCCCGACGCTTTACCTTCTTCAGTTCCCAGCGCTTTACCTTGCTCCCGTTTTACATTTATTAGAAGGACATGTGGTTACTGCCTGGGTATTTTCAAAGCCGGAAGTTTTTCTGTGCCCCCACATAAAATGTAAAGTCTCACAATTTTCCCTCTCCTTGCCTTCCCTTCTCTCTGTCTCTTTCACGCTTCAGAGAGAGTCTCGAACTCTCGTAGGTCTCATTTGACATTTGTGTCATGTTACTTTATTGCTTTTATGAATATATTACTGAGACTGACTCCATTATCCTTGTATGTGTATTTAAAAAGAAGTTTTGTGAGGTTCACGTTTCTCGTTACGCAATTTCGGGTTGCCATGGCAGTTATTTTGCAATCGTCATCACATTGATCTAAAACACCGACGTGTTTACATTGCGGAAATTGGGTTCTGTCTCTGTCTTCATGTAAAACCTACTCAGTTGGTCCCATCGATAGAGCTTGTCCCTTTTCGGAGATAGTGACTAACTCTGTCAATTGGGACCAACTGAGTAGGTTTTACCTTGGGTTCTGTCTCTGTCTTCATGTAAAACCTACTCAGTTGGTCCCATCGATAGAGCTTGTCCCTTTTCGGAGATAGTGACTAACTCTGTCGATTGGGACCAACTGAGTAGGTTTTACCTTGGGTTCTGTCTCTGTCTTCATGTAAAACCTACTCAGTTGGTCCCATCGATACAGCTGGTCCCTTTTCGGAGATAGTGACTAACTCTGTCGATTGGGCCCAACTGAGTAGGTTTTACCTGAGGACGGAGACAGAATCCAGCCTCCGAAACGTTGTGTTTTGAAATATAAACAGGGTGGTGTTTATTTGTGTTAACACATTGCGTGAACATAACTTATATAATAGATCACGAACAAGGTAACCGTCTCTTGTTTCAGTGTATCGTGCCTGTTCTGTGAGTATTGATAATAATTTATGTGGACATGTGTAGCGTAGTATACTATATAAAGGATACTGTTCATATTGAGTATTTGAGCGTGTTATTAGTGGGAGACGGCTTTAATATTTGTCTTCGACGTATCATTAGATAACTTGTTGCGTCGAAAGGAATATGGGAGAAAGGAAGGGAAGTTGAAACATTACGAAAGCTTGTATAGCAAACGATGGGATTCCGAGTTCAATTCCCGGCGGCTGTTGCAGCAGTATATAAATATAAAATTGACTTACCGCAATATTCGAGTGCATATTCCCGTTGACCCCACGCACCAAGATGGACGTTGCTTTGTTTCTGAATGCTGACAGCAGGAACTTCCTGTTTTATATTTATGCTTCTTAGAATCATAAAGCATAAAATTGTCAGCGGTTTACCTGTTTATTGTGTTTAATAAGAAGAGACAATGAATGTTTACGTCATACACGTGTGACTATAATTGTTTCTTCAATTGTCACTTCACATGGCGGCCAGATTCATTCTGTCTAATTTTGCCGTCAGTAATGCGCGTTCAGAATGTGTTTCGAAACAAAAACAAAAACGAATTATCATTTTAACTGTTGTTATTTGAATAGCGGGCGGTGTATTAACTTCGGATGAACTAGTGACACAATCTATCGCTTCACCCTGTTGCATTACGTAGCATGGTTAGTAAAAGTTATTTCCTTGAATCTGCTGATTGCGGTATTTCATGTTGTAACGTTTTGGAGAAGACTGTACCATGAAGCTGTGAGTTTTTAATAGAGATGGAACCAGAAGTAAAACATCGAGTACTGAAGTTTTTAGGGCGGTGTTCACGTCACGGTAATCTGTATTGTGATACCGTGTAGCTTTATAGGCGGACACAGGCCTTTCGGAGGAACATGTTTCATGCTTAAACTCTGAAGATGAACACAGCACGTAACATAAAGTTATTTCTGTGTTTAACTAATTAAGCACAAAGCCATGAAAGCGTATGGGGGAGTGGATGTATAGATCCAAATTTTCTTGATCTCAGCACTAGTTGGAGGAGAGTGGCGAGCTTCACGCCCCTGCCGCTTTACCTCCGGGGAAAGAGCCCCCGATGTCCATTGGATATGAGGCTGGGCGGGCCCCAGAGCCGGCCTGGACGTCGTGGAGAAGAGAAAATTCTTGACCCTACCGGGACTCGAACTCCGACCCCTCGGTCGTCCATCCGTAGTCAGTCGCTACATCGACTGCCCTATCCCGGCATGTTCTTCTAAAAATTCATTATCCACCTACAAGATATATGATGTAAAGTAATTGAATTGCCTGACTCGAATCTTGTTGGAAGTTATTTTGATCAGAGTTTTGTATGATCCTCACTAATCTGTATTTAACACAACACATGAATGACTCGTAATTATGTATTAATGTCAAAGTCATTCTTGTCATGTAATGTAAAACTCTTATGATCCATTGACTGTTTTATATCAGCGTTTTTAGAGTACCCCATCTGGACCTGTGGCATTCAACTGTGGAGTACAGCCTCGAATTCCAACATCGAAATCTTCCAGCGCTTTCACTCCAAGATTCTACGGTCCATTCTGAACACACCTTGGTACATAAACAACCACAGGATCCATGAAGATCTACAGATGAACACAGCGCTCAGGGAAATGAAGAAATTGAATTTCAAATACTTAAGAAAATTAGAAAACCACACTAATGCAATAGCAGTGAAACTACACTCAGGCTGAAAAGTTACACTCTACCAGACAGACCTGAGTAAAACCGCAATACAAGAATTAAGATATGCGTTACGCCACTGGGCATACTCGTTCACAAACCAGTACTTATTGAACATATTTATTGCAGACTCTGCAGATCATGTATAATTATGAAAAGAGTTGAATGCAGTGGTAAAGTTAAGATTGATGAGTCGATGAAAATTTGTAAAGAAACAAGGCAGCTTCATTTCAGAACAATAATTCTGTGTTAGACCGAAGTTCATATTTAAAGGATTAATAAGATTAATTAACATGGAGGCGGGTTAGAATACCTCCACCGTTGCCCTACGATACTTAGAAGGCGACTAAAAGGGAACCCAGTGTCTTGGGGTGTAACTGGGTCACCCTGTCACTGGGGGACATAAATACAGAGACCTGATCCTCCAGGTCTGGGGGTAGGAAGCAAGGCTGAAAAAAAAAACATTATTTCGAATCCAGAGAAGTGAAAACCGGGTGGTCTAATTCACAAATCTGTTGGAACATTTTAAGGAAGGATGTGACTCAAAATGGGCTGTTTTGCCAATGATGATGATGATGAGGAGGAGGAGGAGGAGGAGGAGGAGAAGAAGAAGAAGAAGAAGAAGAATATGAATATAGGCCTTTTACACTCTGTGGTTTTTATTGGACTATAATCATATTCGCCTTGTTAAGACTTGTATGAGGGCTTTAGTGCCTAAGACAAATGTGCCTTGATCTAAGCATCAGCAAACGTGAACTGTTCACGTACGAACAGCAAGTTCAGTTGTACACCTCGACCAGCCAGCAGTTGGACACTAATAAGGATTTAAGAATATGGGTTGCTCAGTGGTTTTCTCTGCTGCCAAATGGAGCGTGACTTTGAGTAGTGGACGCCAGACCGAAGCCATCTCATTAAAATACCGTGCGACACTATCGCTTTCGCCTTGAACCACGCCTTCGCCACAACACGAACAAGGAAAGTTCCAGATATTGTTATCTGCAAGCAGGAACTCATAAATCTGAAATAGGTTTCCGAAACGTTTCAAAATTATGATACTCTTTGAGTGACCGCCTCTGGGGTCTAGTGGTCACAGTTCCTGGCTACAGGTCCAGAGGTCCCGGGTTCGATGACAGGCGCTACCAGATTTTCTGAGAAGTAGTGGTTCTGGAATTGGGTCCAGTCAGCTTCATGAGGATAATTGAAGAGCTATTTTAAGGAAATAGCGGCTCCGTTCTAGAAAACAGAAATTAACGGCCGTGAAAATCCGTTGCACTGACCACGCGACACCCTCGATCCGCTAAAGTTGGCAGTAACTTCTCCGACAAGCGGCGGTCACCCGGTCGGTATAGTTCGCTTGAGGACTCAAGCCACGGAGTTTTTCTTTTGTTCTGATACTGTCTGAGTGCCCATTTTTGGATTCTGTATTCATTCCCAACCTTCCGCAATCCTAGCCACATTCCCATCATCCAGCATGTTTTTCTGTCTGTGATGTATAGACTAAATGTGACATTATTCGGAGCAGCTCAGTTGGTATAGTGACGGACTAGCGGCAGCTTCCAGACCGGCTACGGGGCCCACCGAACGTCATCTTCAGTTGATGCTTATAAAATCATCCTACATCAGAATGAAAAACAATTAATAATAACATCGACGTGCCTTGATGAATACAATTTGACCAAGAGCGCAGCGCAGTAGACTCCTTTAAAAAGGATATGTTCCCTGAAGATGGCGCTATGCGGCTGAAACATGTAGCGTAGACACTGAAAGTACATATATTTTAATAATTTTAATGACATTTTAAATGTGTAACGAACATTTACTGAATTGCTGTTGTTACGTTGGTACTGTTGCATTATAGACGGAAGACAAGACTATAACTGATACCGAAGGATCTATCCCAGGTGGTAAAGCGGCCGGATCGTGAATCTGAACACTCACCTCCTTAGAGTGCCGAAGTCAGAAACGGTGAAGCTATACCTCCACTCCCACCTACTCGATGAGAGAGAGGTCTGTGTTAATATCTAGTCTATAAGCTGTGCATCGACCTTTTCTTCTCGAGATCACAGGTTCCCCCCCTCCCCCCGGCACTACAGCCCCAGTGGGCCTAGGCCTACCTCCATGAACTTCTGATCACAGGTTTCGGAATCTGTTAATTCGCTTTTCTTCCGTTCGAAGCTCTTTCGTGGTTTATGAATGTGGTCTTCTGCGTTATGAGCAGCATGTAGTCCCGTGGGTGGTTGCCGTGGAGATACTGCCTTATATACTAAGAACAGAATGTGTTCTGTGTTATAGCGCAGAACAGCGTAAACAAAGACTATACCGCCATAGAACACTCAAATGTCATACACACTTTATGGCTGCTGGCTAATAGAGCATGGATTTCATTTGAAAGTGGCAGGGCGAGCCAGGAAGGAAGCTTCTGGTATCTAACTTTAAATTTCGTGCGAACGGTCGAACAATTCTGTGAACGTTTCAAAATACTTGGAAGAGCTCAGAAGGGATGACAACGGACTGAGATGTTTGCACCTTTGTGAGATATGCAGCTTCCTGTAGGAACACGCCCACACGTTGCGGACACGCGGAGAGCGCTCCGGCACCATGTTCGCTATATCGCGGAGTCAGTTCACAGCCCAGATACTGGCTACCCTAACATTCTTTGTGGTTTTCCCTAGTCCCTTCAGGGTAGCACCTAAAATTAGGACACTATCACCCTCGTCCGCTAGCTAACTAACTTCATGAAGCTGAGCCCTTCCCGAGAAGCCGCCAGTTGTACAGCTACTCAAGTATTTATCAACATTTTATGGAACCCGAAGGTTCATTGCCGTGTTCACAAGAGCCCTCCATTGGTCCCTATCCTGAGCTAGATCGATCCAATCCATACCACCCCATCCCATCTCTCTTAAGATTTATTTTAATCTTATCCATCCACCTACGTCTTGGTCTCCCTAGTGGCTCTTTCCTTCTGACTTTCCCACCAATATCCTATATGTATTCCTCTTCGCTCCCATTCGTGCTACATGCCGTGCTCATCTCATCCTCCTTGACTTGATCACTCTAATTATAGTTGGAGAAGAGTACAAGCTATGAAGCTCCTCATTATGCAGTTTTCTCCAACCTCCTGTCACTTCATGTCTCTTCGGTCCGAATATTCTCCTTAAGACCCTGTTCTCAAACACCCTCAGTCTTTGTTCCTCCCTAAATATCAGAAACCAAGTTTCACATCTATACAGAACCACAAGCATCATTAATTCCAATTCATTATTCAAATATCTTCCTATCATTCGACGCTTTATAATTTGAACTAATTACATCTTTGAATTAGCCATAAATAAATAAATATGAATTTTAATATTATTTGTTCAAGTATACCTTAAGGGATAATTATATCTTTAAGAAAAAAAAATATAATTAAATACAGAGGAACATACGTAGACTGAAGGTGTTTGAGAACAGGGTCTTAAGGAGAATATTCGGACCGAAGAGACATGAAGTGACAGGAGGTTGGAGAAAACTGCATAATGAAGAGCTTCATAACTTGTACTCTTCTCCAAGTATAATTAGAATGATCAAATGAAGGAGAATGAGATGGGCAGGACATGTAGCACGAATGGGGGCGAC